CTATGTATGTAATGAAGATGGTATTTATTGACAGTGGGGGTGTTTTGTTTTTTTTTGTGTTGTGTTGATAAGACTGAAGGTTGTAGGTTTTCTGCGGGGTGGTGTGATTATGACGAGGGTGATGAGGGTGATGAGGGTGATGTGACATAAGGTAATTTTGCGATGAGTATAAGGGTGACCGTGATGTGATAGGTATACGATTGATATTTTACATTATTTCTTAGGTATCATGTATAAAGTTATTTGATACATGAGTTTGATGCTTAAATGAGGTGGTGAAGTAGTGAGATGATGAAATGATGAGAATATCAAGATGAAAATTATATTTTAGAAGAAAAATAAAAGATAGGATGTAAAAGTATGAGATATTATTATAAGATTTATAAGATTATACTCTTAAGTAAAAAAGATGGTTTTATAAAAATATTTTCTTTTAATATTATTATTTTGATATATAATAATAAGACTATGCTAATTAATCTTGTTAATCTTTTAAAGACTTGCCAGTGAGAATAATTAGATAATTGAACAAGTAGAATAGCTGTATAATACAACAGAAGAAAACTGCCGAAAATAGGGTGCAGATTATAATCACCAGTATTTGGATACACATAAATAGACAGATAGATAAATTACCAACTTCTCTCTTCCCAGCCCAGCCCATCCCATACCAACCCAACCCATCCCAATATCCCCCTCTACTTTCTCATCCTCACGCCATACATACACACCTCCAGCTCTTCTGCACCCCAACCCCAAAAATCACCCCAAAGTACTCCCCGCATCCACACGATACCAATTTGCTTTCGCGTCGCCTAAACACGTACCCACGGTTACGGGATTATAACCTTTCGCGATGGCGTTTTGGAGTATGTATTCGATGAGGACGGCGGAGGTTTGGTTGTGGATGTCGTGGGTTATGAGGACTAGAGGGGGAGAAGGGTGGGTTATTAGTGTGGTTTTGGAGGAGGGGGTTTTTTGTGGAGAAGGGGAATGAATGGAATATACTTACGAGGGTGGTCGGTTTTGGGATCTGAAGCGTTGATTGCGGTGGAGAAAATATTTTGGGAGTTGCTGATTAGAGTTGGTGAGTCGTTGAGGTAATCTTGAGTATCCAGGGACTTGTGAATGAAGAAAATATTAGTCAAGGGATTTTTTAAAAAAAAAAATTAACAGAGAAAAGGAAAGAAGAAAAGTAAGGTTAGGAAACGACATACAAAATAAGTAATGTGATATCCTAACTCCCCCATATCCTTCTCACATCCACATTCTGCTGTACAACTCGAATATGGCGGTCTCATATATGTTGGAATAACGCCAATTATATTCCTCAACGCCATTTCATTCTTCCACATCTCATTTTTACGCTGTGTACTTGTTATGTTGCATAAATCGGCATGACTCCATGAATGAGATGCTATTTGATGTCCATTATCATACATGCGTTTTATGAGGGATGGCCAGGGGAGAGATGTATTATCAATGTGACCCTTTCCGAGGTTGTTACCGGTGATGAAAAATGTCGCTGATGCGTTGTATTGGGCGAGGATATCGAGGATGTGGGATGTGTAGATGTAGGGACCATCGTCGAAGGTTAGTGCCATGTCGCCAGGAGTTGCACAATCGTAGATACCGGCTGAGCCATATAGGACGGATCCTAGAGCTGGACGGGCAATGCTGGAGGTATTGCTGCCTGTTGGAATGGTGTTGGCGTCGCAGGCGGGTCCATAGTTGAATTGACAATCAGGAGCGGCGCAATATTCTAAGGAGTGGTTAGGAGCTGTAGGTTGGATGTAAAGTGAAGGTGGATGGATACCTTCGGTAGTACCACAGTATCCAGCAAGAGAACAACATTCATCTGATGCACAATTACCAACACCAGATCCACATCGTTTTTCTGCGTCGCTTCCTCCATCGTCGCATTTCCCATATGCTGATTGACAACCCGAAGGAGTAGAACAATAATCCGTCGTGGTTCCACAATATCCACTAAAGTCTTGTCAATATCTAACTCTTTCGCCTGTTCATATTCCTTACTTTTTTGAACAACATTCCCCTGTTGGACAAGTATATCCTTTTGTTCCAGCAAAAGTAACTCCACAAGTTTCATCGATACTCACGACCTTGGTCCCATTGACGGTGTCTCCACTGGTACAGTTTCCAAATTGAGATTGACAGCCATTGCTACTTAAACAATAATCATCTGTTGTACCACAAAATCCATTCTTGGAACAACATGGGAGGGTTGAGGGACATGTATATCCATTCGGTCCTCCTCCTCCATTAGTTCCATTGACTCCACAAGTTTCATCTGGAGAAGTTGCTCGGGAATACGTAGATGGAAAATTGAATATACCAGCTGAGGTACTAGATACGAGGCCGAGTAAAACGGCGGAAGAGATATGAGGAAGATACATTGAACGCTTTGTTTAAAAAATATCTGGAATATCCTCCTACTTTGAGGTCTTCCTCAAGAATTATAGAAGAGGAAATATAACGACGGGGAAAGAAAACGAATGTATAGATTAACGAGAGTAACAATCAACCAAAGAAAAAGAAGCAGAAATAAAAGAAAGACTAAAGTAAAGGTAGTCCTCTAGTCTGTATAAAGTCTTTTTTCATCAATTGCCAAGCTTACACCAAAAGCCTCGTGTAAAAGATCCAAGCATTGTACTCGAAACAGTACTTTTGACGATTGATCTAGGATATGACATTTTCTTTTGGTATGAGAAAGGAAAGGAATTGGAAAGCTTAATTCGGTGACTAGGATGGCAGTATGTAGAGATTCAAAGATGGTGAGAGGAATGCAGCTTTGATGTTTTATATTTGTCGCGGTGATACTTCCATTTGGGACTTTCGAAGAGGTCTAAATTCTGTTTCTGTTTTGGTTCCAAGATGAATGACCTCGGCATCTTTAGATGATGAAACTTGATTGATGAGGATTATGGAATTATGGAAATCTCATTGTTGATTTATGAGGATAATTTATGAGGATAATTTATGAGGTTTGATTGATACTCTTTTTTTGAGAATGAGGAAGAATTATATCTGGTGAAACGCGGTGATGATGACTAGTTGTCGTGAGCAGCTTGGCATCTAATCTCATATTGTCTTACTTTATACTGAGGCTCAATTCGGGGTGTATTTCATCATTCTAGAGGAATGGAGGAGTAGTTGAATGCTTATAATATATACAGATTCATGCAGTATAACAATCAGCCTCCTGCAGTTCCTGTGAATTAGTGCCTTGGCCTTTCTTTTGGTGAGATCAAAGCTTGATATTGTGAGTTTGCACCCGGCAAGAGGATTATTGTCTTCTAAATTTGTTGTCCCCGGTGAGCCATTAATCCGTGCCATTCCGTGACTAATCTATCTGCGTGGGGTGTGGGGATAAGGTCATCGGAATTCGAGAAACTCCATGTACAAATAAAAACCAAAACGTCATAGGATCGACGAATGGATTTCAAATCACCAGTTCTTATGGCATTTACGTCATGGAAGTCATAGAAGAGAGGGTGTAATGGGTAAGTAACATGCTGTGAATGTAAAAAGGTAGGTCGATTTTTATTCATCTTTCTTTTCTCATCATAGCAATGTTCACTCGAACTCTTCCCTCAGCACTCAGAACATCTTCACGATTATCACAACTTTCTTCACAAATTCAAAGACGAAGTATGGCCTCAATCACCACACATAAGCTCAACACTGGAGCTACTATTCCCGCCATTGGCTTTGGTACATGGCAGGACAAGGACTCTCAAGAAGAGGCAGTCACAGAAGCATTGAAGGCGGGTTATAGACACATTGATACAGTATGTCTAGTCGTTTGGATGAACAACTATTAGTGAATAATTTGCTAATTTAAGACTTCTTCAGGCAAGAGTATACGGAACTGAATCAGCATGCGGTGCTGCAATCAGGGCCTCTGGCATTCCTCGATCCGAACTCTTCATCACCACCAAGTTATGGAATAACAAGCACAAGCCAGAAGATGTTGAACCAGCTCTTAATGAGTCGTTAAAAGATTTGGGTTTGGATTATGTTGATTTATACTTGATGCATTGGCCATCTGCATTCAAGCCAGGCGATGACCTATTCCCTAAGGTGGATGGCAAAACGCAAACGGCAGATATTTCATACGTTAATACATATAAGGCTATGGAGAAGCTTATTGAAACTGGAAAGACTAAGGCTATTGGTATTTCCAATTTTTCGAGAGGGGAATTGGAGAATCTATTAAAGGAGGCTTCGATTGTTCCTGCAGTTCACCAATTGGAACTTCATCCATGGCTTCAACAAACTGAATTCTGTGAGTTCAATAAGAGAAAGGGAATTCATATTACCCAATACTCTCCATTTGGAAATCAAAATGAAGTTTATGATAGTGGAAAGGGTATTGGCAAGTTAATGGTAAGATTATTACAATTATCACATCTCCCAAGCTTGGCTAACATGTGTTTAGGATGATCCAACAATCGTTGAGATTGGCAAAAAGTATAGCAAGTCTGGAGCACAAGTAGCATTAGCTTGGGGTATTGCACATGGTCATTCTGTCATTCCTAAATCGAAAACTCCTTCACGCATCAAGAGTAACTTGGAGGGCGATTTCAAACTTGAAGCCGAAGATTTGAAGAAATTAGATGGTTTGGATAAAAAGTTAAGATTCAATGATGCTAGTGCATCATTCGGATACAATTTCTATTCAGACCTTGATGGTAAAAGAAAGAATTAAGGAAAGGAATGTCCCACATTTAATATAATAACAGTACTTTCTCTTACTATCTTCTACATCCTGTCCTACATCATTGGCTTAGGGATACGTATGGTTAGAATCAATATTTCAGCCCCAACACCAATATCTCAACGCCCTATCAAATTTGAGAATAGAACCAAGAAAAAAGCATTCTCTAGTCACCATAAATCACCTCATACAAATACTCATAAACATCCCACGAAGCTGTATCAAATCCCGCAATAATAAACACCACATCCCCAGTTCCCTTTTCCCACCCGAGCCGCACCTTTCCACCTGCATAAAAGTTCAAAGCCTTCCTTTTCATCAAAAACAATTATTGGTCAACGAAAGTATCACAACAGATCCAAAAACACACAAGACATTTCCATTTCCGTTATTGGGTGATAGTCTATACAATTAGTCGTACATAGCTCGTGTTTATTTTAAGGGGCTCGCACAACTGCGTTTTTTGTGATGGGCTGTGCAATATGTGGAAATTTGAATGAGTTGCTTGAAGGTTATAGTGATATATCTGGGAGTTTTCTTCCTCTTTTTTTTTCCTTTTCTGAAAGTTGCTGTTTTTACTTGCGTATTCGAAAAGTTTTTGGAGATTTCTTTTGGTTAATACTTTTGAGAGATTGAATATTATACACATTCGTTTACCTACTTTCACATTTGTTTAGGATTTGCAATATGTATACCAATCTTTTGACAGTGGCTAGTCTTTGTGCTGTGGTGCTTGCGAGTCCTCAGTTGAATAAACGGGAAGATGGCGATACGTATGTTCTCCAGTCTTATTTCTCTATTCTCCAATCTCAATTCCTTCCTCTTCTATTATTTTCATCAATCCCCACCCCGAAAACCCCCCTACTAACACCTTCCCTCCAGCTCCAGCTCCAGCTCCACTGTATCCTCCATTCTCGAGAGCCTTTCAACTAGCCCTACTGCTAGTATCACATCAACATCTCCATCAACACCAACAACTGAATCCTCCCACCCCACCATCACAGCCCCAACCCCAGTAACAGGCATCATAAACGGCACAACAGCAACACTAGTTCCGGTAGGAACAGGCGGGTTAACAATTGCGAGTACGGCTGCTATAGGAGGGAATAGTACGGTTACGACGGGGAAACTGACGAGTTCGACGGAGGAGACAGCGGCGGAAACGGGGACGGGGACGAAGACGAGGGATAAAGAGTACTACGGGTGTAGCGACGGGAAAATCGACGCCGAGTCCGATGTCGAGTTCGAGTAAGGCGGGGGCGGTGGCGGCAAAGGTTACGGGGGTGGGTTTTGGGGTGGGGGCTGTGGGGTTGATGGGGTTGGTTTGGGTTTTGTAGGGGTGTGTGTGTTTGTAATGGGGGTGGGGTGGTGATGGGATGGGGATGAGAGTAAGGTTTAATGAGTTGATGATGAGATTGAGATGGAAGGTGGTGATGAGAAAAGTTTCCATGAGTTTTTGTTCTTGTGTTGTGCTATGTTGTGTTGTGTTGTGTAGTTTAGTTATCAGATTGGATGAGGTGAGGTGAAGTGAAGTGATATACTTGCATACATCGAATAATTTAAGAGATAAAAATGAGAATGAATGATGGTGGAATATTTAATTTCGAATTTCGAATGTAACTAACTAGCTGTCATGATCAGTCAGTAACTTAACTTAACTCAACCTAACTGATTAAAGTAGAATCAGTAGATAGTTTTTAATATAAATTCTTTTCTTTTCTTTTATAATTATGTTTTAAAGATCTTTGATCTCGGAGCTGTTTGTGGTTTTGATGTTGATATGTGATTGTGATTGTGATTTTTGATATGTGATTTTGATAGTATTATTATTATTATTATTATTATTATTATTATTATTATTATGTTACGAGGTTTGCCGTCTAGATCACGTGGAAGTGCTCTAGGCTCTCGAAGTAGGTTTATAACTAGGCGTCAAGCAGGGACTTAAAGTAATGACAATAATGATATGCAATTCGTAACTAATAGTAGAGTATACTAAATGATTGATCTTGAGCACGAAGCTCTATACAAAGGAAATCCATCTTGATTATATAGACCATCGTGGCATGCGTCCCAGTGCTCCTGTGACGGAAATCCCTGCTTTCCTCCCACCCTTATTATATAAGAAACCTCAGGTACATTAACCATGTCCACACATGATACGATTACTCGAGATTAGTATGCGATTTAGGTGACCTGAGGATCAGATCCGGACAAGTACTAGGTATCAATGGTTATCGGTAAAGTAAGATCATTGGAGGAATAAATATGACTTCTTTTTGCCTAGCTATTGCGGCTAGGCCATTCATTTGTGTATATATAGAGTAGCTATCCCCATCTACAGGTGCTCTTCACCTGTAGATTCTAAGTTAAATACAATTGCTGGTCTATAAACACCCTTTTGGTCACAGCTCCCAGTTGTCCCAGTTGTACTGGGACAGCTGAGCCTACTGGGATCCTCATATCACATGATGCTAATCACGTGATGTTAGGTATGTGAGATCCGTCGTAACATATTATTATTATTATTATTATTATTATTATTATTATTATTATTATTATTATTATTATTATTATTATTGGTATATGAGAGTTTGGTAAGGTTAGGGTTTGATATGTATGAAGGGCTGTGTCACACTCAAGAATACTGGGTAAAGTATCTTGTATTAGAAAATACTAAGCTAAGGAGAAAAGAAGAAGGAAAACAAGAGTAGAGAGTTTTCCTATGATTAAATACAAACGGGGCATGCCACGTGACCCGGAGGTGTGAGGCGTCACAGGCTGTGACTATCAGGAAATATCAAATAATAAGATTTACCAGAATCGAATACTTGTATAATGATTTTTCATACTCCCTTATGCTATATGGAATTAGATAATCAGATGATTGGGTCCCGAGAATACTCGTGCTGTTCAGAGTAGTGTCTGGATTAAATTTTATGTCAGATACCCTTCATTTGTACTTCGCTGGTCGACTTTTCCTTCTTTTCAGTTTGCGAGAACCTTGGGTATAATACGTCACGTCGAAGTATAATAGCAGGCATCTTCCGATCTTTCCTTCTTTCAATGAGTGATCCATCAACTTTTCACAAAAGCAATTGATGTAATAAATCAAATCATCTCTATTTATCCGTATTCCTAGCCACCGATTTAAAACCCTGAAAATATCCCTTTCTAAAAGGATTCAACTCATCCGCCGTAACACCCGTCCCATTCGCCTTCCTCTCACGAATCTCCTCCGGATCTACCTCTGAATCTGGTATTCTTCTATATGTAATAAGTCTTCTGGACCCTATTACTTATTAATTATCTGTAGTTATGAGTAAGATGGAAAGTTGAATTAGGTTACGTACATTTGTTAAAGGCTTGTGTGCAGACACTTGTCATATGTAAGCAGGGATGAGAAGGGATTTTGATTTCTTGATCTTCGTCGTTGGCGGTAGGCATCCAGAAGGATAGACGGCCGTTTTCTACGAGAGATATGGCTGCGAAATCGAGGATGTCGTCTAGCATTGCCAGGAACGAATATGGTTTTTTGGGTGGGATGTAGGCTTCTTGTCTGGATTTCGTTAGTGTCGTTTTAGGTATTCATTTCAGATGGGAAAATCGTACAAATGATGAGGTTGTGTTTCGCCTTCTAACATTATTGGTACCTTAGGTTTAGTAGGATCTCTATTCCCTAGTACTTTTAAACCTTCTCGGACACCATATGGTGGATCACATAATATACCATCGAATAATCTAGCACATCTTAACGGAGTATTTGTTAGATCCGCCACGAAAGTATCTCCAAATTGATTCGTGAGACCATATTGCACGAAATTAGAATGTAAATTCTTCTTTCCCTTTCCTCGAATACTTCGTCCATCAATATCGCTTCCGAAAGCAAGAGCTCCAAAATGTGCACATGCAACTGGAAAACTACCCGTGCCAACAAATGGATCATAGAATAATTTTCCCGGTGCTGCTAATGTGATATTGGCAGTGACCAGTGCAAGTTCAGAATCCATAGAGGTCGTACTGATATATTTCCGTTTCTTGAGATCATACTTCCCCACAATATCTCTTTCGCTAGCGCCGAGAAATCGACCAAAGGTTACATGTGAAGGTGTGTTGATACCATTAGCAGCAGCATCAAGTTGCCATTCTTCCGAGATACAAAATTCTTCATCAGCTCCTTTCATCTTGATAGGTCCTGCAAATTCCAAATATCGAAACTCGTTGATGAGTGCTCGTTGCTCGGTGGTAGATCTGGTATTTTGGAAACAATCCACGGTAAATTTGAAAGAACAGTTTTTATAAAGAGGCCATGATTCTTTTGTATGTGTCTTTATATCATGATGAAGATCTTCATACGTAGAACCTTTTCCCCAAACCTCGTAAATGGCTTTGGAGAGAATGCTTCTCTTGATAAGCCGTGCAGCTGCTTCTGCAGACGGGACGTCTATGAAACAGAATGGTGACTATCAACTACTTAGAATTGACGGCATGGATAAATTCTGATAGATTTCACTTACATTTGAAGCATAGTGTTCAACCTCTAAAGGGATATTCTCAAGCTCTGCTAAGGCTTGGATCTCGGCGAGACGAAACGTCTCGTGTGTTTGTGTGAATCTTATTAAACACTTCATTTTGAAGATATTGCTTGACTCCTCTCCCTAATAGATCAACCAAAGTCCTACAGATTCTTCCTCGTCTCACTCCTACAGACCCAATACACTGGTATGGAGCCTTGGAAAAGCGAGCAGACAAGTGGTTACGTCAAACTTCCAGGGTCTTGCGAATGGGAAGAATTGACCGTTTCGGTATAAGAAGAAGACTATCAGGTGAAGCCTTGTCTAAAAACAGCTCAGAAGACGATTTCCCTAAATAGCTAACAAAAATACCCGTAAGTAAATTCAGAAATTGCATCCAGAATAATTTTCAGCATGACTTCCAACAAAAAATAAACCCTCCAAAAATAATTACAAGGGCTAATTTTAGCGCATCCTAGCCCATGCAACCCACGCTAAACCCAACAAAGCACTATCAAAATAAATCCTCAAAATTCCCATCCACCCATCCATTCATCTATTCATTTATCCATCTATCTCTCCCCAAAATATCCACCCCATCACCATGTTAAATTTCCCCAAAGAAACCAAACACGAGCCAAAATGCTACGTGACACATGGTACCATTGGACATGTAGATACCAAACAAACACCCACAAGAAGGAAACCCTTTGTGAATATCCTAGGATATAAATATATCAACAAGGTTGAAATGATATTACCGCAGGAAATGTATGAGGTGATGAGACGGGAGATGGAAGAGGTGTTTTCGGAGAATGGTGGTCCGGTTTATAGTCGGGTGGTGATGCCGTTGAGTGCGTTGATTGAGGGAGAGTTTTTTACAGAGTATATTAAGAAAGGTGAGGAGGGTGAGGGTGTTGGAATGGGATCGGTCAGTTTCTTATGGGTTTTTAGGAAATGTTTTGATGCTTTCGAAGGGGAGGATAGGGGTTGATGATGTGTTTTCGTTGTGTGAGGGTAGGGTCTCAAGTCATAGAAGTTTTAGCACATAGCATTTACTGACGGTCTTATAGGGATTTTGACCTTGCATTTAGACAAGGAAAGTTATGAACGCTCGGGTTTAGTAGGTAAACCTGAAGGGGTAAAGGGAAAACGAGAACATCGACCTCGGTGGAGTATGTACTGTCATGGCTGATGAACTTCATTTACTGATCAATTTACAGTTGTTGAGATAAATCTACGATTACCATCAATGTTACATGGCAAGAAAGGCTTTCAAAGGATTGAATATGCATTCAAGAATGTATTGACTACTCCTGTGACGTGGCTTTTCTGCGATCTGGGAACTACAGGTGAGGATCTATATACACCTGTAGCTGCAAAGCTAACTCTTTCGCCAGTATTACCATCTGATCCATTATCTTCACATCATCCACATAAGATAACGTGCACTCCAAGGGTGTTGAACGGTATTCAAGTCAAGAGACCTGATTTAAAGCTTGCAACAGAGAACAACAGCAACTATGATGAAGACTTTCGGGAATTTTCCGTCGGAATTCATGAGTGGCTTTCATTAATCTCATTAGAAAGTCCCCGAGTCAATTCTACCGACAGTATCGACACTTTCCTGTCCCGTTATGATCCACCGATAGGTTCGGATGAAACGGAGGAGTTGGTGAAAGTCACATGGACTGGATTCATTTCCCCTTCGTGGGCACATGGTACCTTTATCCAAGTTCTACTCACAGCACCAAAAGATTCATGGCTTTCGTATTATGTTGGCGGATTTAGTGAAAGCTGGAATGGCGAGAGCAAGAACAGTACGATATTGAAGTTGCCTGATATCCCGAACGATTATATTTTGTGGGAAGTGGAATAGATGGATAATCATTCTGTCCTTTGACGAACTTCTCGTCCTTCTCCTACTTCACCTGTAATTGCCTCCGTGATGAGCTTTCTTAATTCTTCTTGTCCCGCTGGTGTTTGGAAATCGTCTCGCGCGGCCAATTCGTCAATACGTCGTTTAAACTCGGGATCGATGACCTCTCCTACATCCTCTTCTGGATTCATAGTACCAATATCAACCGATATTCCTTCGGGTACTGGTGGTGGATGGCCATTCGACGTAACTGTAGGTGCTGCTGCTCTATTTGATTCTGACAAGCCCCCTTCCTCTTCAAGCTCCTTGATTCGAAGATATACCGCAACTTCTGGAAAGTCTCCTTCTGCCTCGATTCTCTCTCTCGCATTACATCCATCTTCCGCACTTCTGATTTTGTAATTGGCATGTAATTCCTCAACCAGTAGCTTTGCGCAATCTAATGTTTCCGTGACGAATAGTGCTGTATCTCCATCCTCATCTTTCAAATCGACATTAACATTAAACTCTGTAACAAGAGCTCGCAGAAGGTCCAAGTGATTGTAAGAAGCAGCAGCGTGCATTAAAGAATATCCGTGTTCATCTTGGGCAGAAGCCAAGGCGGGGTTCGATCGAAGGAGGGGTAAGAGATCTGGAGAATTATCGGCGGCGAGAAGGAAAGGATTGGATTGAGCAGAAGTCATCGTGTCGTGTACTGTACTTGTGTGGATTAATAAATGCCGTGTTGACGTGTTTTCCGTAGAATGTGAATATCCAAAATATTCAATGCTGGGAAATATAATCTTAATACGACGAGTAGGAGGGAGGATATTGAATTTTCTAAGATGGAGCGGCCGCATCTCCCGACGTCGGGATTTTTCCAACTTTTACATCTTTAGCCCCTCTAACACCACTACAACACTACTACCCACTACCCACTACCCACTACCCACTCCACTACCTACTCACTACCCTACCCGCTCGTCAGTCGCAGCAGCCATAGCCCTAAGCTACCGTACCCAGATAGGTATTCGGCTGACCCTTTCCCTCTTTGGGTATTGAGCTGGATAAAACTACAAGGTGATTACTAGCTAATTACTGGGTAACTGCTAGGTAACTGCCTCCCCCTTGACACTTTCCTTAATATTTAAATATCTCGATTTTTTATTTCTTCGGTGTGACTGACTTTTTGGTGGATAGGCTCAAGGTTTTGTTAATAAAGACAGACAAAAGTTCACCGTACGAATCAAGCTTTTGTTATGCTTTTATCCAGCAGACTATGCAACCCAGGCTTAAGATTTCTTTCATCTCCTAGTATATAAAAGAATTGTTCATCCTCCAGATTGAGCAAAGAACTATCACAATTTTTATCTAATTTATACCCCTCCAACTCCACTCTTCCACATTTACGAAAATATTCCGTCGCTATGCCTAAACATGGAATTGTTCCTTACAAATCTCAAGATGTAGAAGAGGTCCAACACCTTCTTCGAAATCTCAACGATAGCACTGGCAAGGGAAAGAAACATGGTTTTAGCTGCAAGAAAACTCCCTTTCAAGTTGATGGGTCTCCAGCAAAGATCGTCGTCGAATCTTGGCGTTTTCAAGATTGGGACTACAAGCGTGATGATTTACCAACATACGCACGAGGTCTTTTTACTGGCAAAAATGAAAAGGATCAACCAGAGATTGCAGTTCGTGGTTATGATAAGTTCTTTAACATGGAAGAGGTCAGTGCTACGAGATGGAGCAATATCCAAGAGAAAACCCAAGGTCCTTATGAGTTGAGTCTCAAAGAAAACGGATGTATTGTCTTTATTAGTGGACTTCACGATGGTACTCTATTGGTTTGTAGCAAGCATTCCACCGGCCAAGGAAACAAGCCAGAAATGAGCCACGCAAAAGCTGCCGACAGACGGGTCGACAAACAACTTCAAGCTATTGGAAGAACTCGAGAGGATCTCGCGAGAGAGCTGAGGAAGAGAAATGCTACTGCAGTTGCTGAGCTTTGCGATGATGATTTCGAGGAGCACATTTTAGCTTATGGTAAAGAGGATGCCGGACTTTATCTTCATGGTATCAATATCAATCTTCCAGAGTTCATGACATACCCTGGAGATCAAGTTCAAGCCTTTGCTGCGGAATGGGGATTCAAGAAGACTGATTTCCTGGTTATGGACGATATTAAAGTCGCTAAATCTTTCCTCGATGAAGTAGCTGAAACTGGATCTTACCAAGGACGTGATATTGAAGGTTTCGTTATTCGTTGCAAGGCTCGTACCGGATCATCAGAATCATACTCGGATTGGTTCTTCAAATACAAATTTGAGGAGCCATACCTTATGTATAGACAATGGCGTGAATGTACAAAGGCCTTGATTGCCAAGAAACCTCCTCGTTTCAAGAAACACGTCAAGATCACAGAAGAATACCTTTTGTTTGCACGAAACCGACTTGCCGAGGATCCCAATTTAGGAAAAGAGTATGCACAAAATCATGGCATCATCAAGCTGAGAGATGATTTCCTAAAGGAAATTAACCTGAAAGGTTCGGATATCATTCGCCAGGAATATACTCAACTAGGAGGTTCACCGAATGAAGTGAGCAATAATGTTATTCTAGTTCCAGTTGCTACAATTGGTTGTGGAAAGACAACTATTGCACTTGCTCTTAGCCATCTTTTTGGTTGGGGACATATTCAAAATGATAACATTACAGGCAAGAATCGCCCACCTCGATTTACCAAGGAAGTTTTGACCCAGCTCGAAGAGAAATCTGTTGTCTTTGCCGATCGAAATAATGCTTCAAGGCATGAGCGAGCACAAATTATTGAAGATGTTCATCTTACTCATCCACACGTTCGATTAGTCGTGTTAAACTTCGTTCATGATAAGGGATCTCTCGATAAAGTTCGCCAAGTTACTCAGGATCGAGTACTGACACGAGGTGATAATCATCAAACTCTTCAAGCAGCAACTGATTTGAAGAAAGTCGTGGGCATCATGGAAGGATTTGTACAACGTTTTGAACCAGTAAATATGTTCGCATCACCCGATGATGGATTTGATTCTTCCATCGAGCTGGATCCTACCAAGGACTCGCGAGAAAACCTTGAGACTGTTATCGGACAGCTTTCAACACAATACCCAAAGTTGTTTACCGATTTACCTACGAGCGAGGACCTTGATGAAGCCATTCAACTTGCAATGAGTGATTACAAGCCAGATCTCAGACATGACCTTAGTCGTGGACCTAAGAACAACAATAAGAACCAACAGAAAGAAAACAAAAATGTACGTGAAGATGAGGAATTGATACGAGGGATAAAATTTACATGTATCGAATAATGCTGACGGATAATTTCACAGTTACTACAGATCGGCAAAAAGAAGAAGCCATTAGAATACGTTTCTATTTCCCTCCCACGAAACGAGATCAAAGAGGCACTTGATGATGCGTTCGGTCGTGTATCCTCGGATAAGGCTAAATTTTACAAAGTACTCGAGAAATCTCGTCGAGTTCAGCCTGAGTTCCACGTCACCCTCATACATCGAGCCAACTCTAAGAACTTTCCCGAGTTATGGCAAAAATATAGTGATATGCACGAAGGAGGACAAGTTGCAAGCGATGCTTCAAATCCAGGCAAATTTGGTGATTGTCAAGTTATGCTAGAGAGAGTATGTCTATCTTTTCTTTTTCCCAATTAATCAATCAATCAAATGAAAACTAACATCATTAGATCGTATGGGATAATCGCATCATGGCTATCGTAGCCCGATTAGTCGATGATGGTTGGGAATGTACTAATGAAGTAGCACATATTACTGTTGGTATGGGAGGAGATCATATTAAACCTAGAGAAAGTAATGATTTGTTAAAACGTTGGCTTGAAGAGGGAAGTGGTGAGGAGAATAATATTGGGGAGATTGCCATTGAGGGGAGGAAAATTGTTAGGGGTGTGGTGAAGGGGGTTGTTTCTAGGTGAGGGGTGGAGGATGAGGATGAGGATGAGGGGATATGAATATGAATATGCAGCGTGAAGATGGATGGATGGATGATGCGATGAGGAAATGCTTGAAGGAATGAGTTTTGCATATGATACGACACGATACTACACGATACCAAAATCTCTCAACTCCCTCCCTGTTTATGCATTCATAAACACATCGAGAACTTCCAAAGATATAATAAAATAAAATATTTCCCCTCTTTATACGAGTAACTTTGTCCTTGTCCTTGTGCTTTTCTTTTCTTTTCTCTTCTTCCCTTTTCTTTTCATCGATGTGAGATAAAATGTATGAAATGTAAGATTACATAAATAAGTAAGTAGGGGAGTGTAACATATCATGAAGTACCTAATATATTACTAACCCCCTCTTCGACTAGTACATAGGCCTGAAAAATTATATATTCTTATTATTGTTTAGTAAAATGAAAATTAAAACGGGTTTTGGGAAAAGATATAGAATAGAGAAAACGAGATAGGGAGAAAACAGCTCTGGTGTTACGAGGTTTGCCGTCTAGATCACGTGGAAGTGCTCTAGGCTCTCGAGGTGGTTTATAACTAGGCGTCAAGCAGGGACTTAAGTAATGACAATGATGCAATTCGTAACTAATAGTAGAGTATACTAAATGATTGATCTTGAGCACGAAGCTCTATACAAAGGGAATCCATCTTGGTTATATAGATATTTATGCTCCCTTGGATCCTTTTGGATCCTCAAGCTCCAAAAGCTCCAAGTCACGTGTTTTTTGACAGTGCGTGCACATACGATCTTAAGGTGACCCAGATCACATATTAATTCGATGAAATCTGATCGCTTTTGCACAAGGCCTAAGCTCTCCTAATTAGTCAGTTGTTACTATCGTAACATCTGGGAGATATTAATATTGATGTTAATTTGGTTTTTGTAACGAATAAGTGATTTGTTTGTGAGTTTTTGAGTTTGTGAGTTTACGATTTTGTGAATTTATATTTATATTTATATTTATATTTATATTTATATTTATATTTATATTTATATTTATATTTATATTTATATTTATCTTTATATTTATATTTATATTTAAAATTAAAAAGAGGGGAGAAGGGGAGAAAGTTGGTGGGTGAGGGAGGTGTAAGGGATGGTATTGTAGGGATGTATTTATATATATATGTGTGTGTGTGTGTGTAGTTTAACTTACCGAGTATAGTAATTTAATCTTGAAAGGTGGAGGTTGGAAGTTGGAGGGTTTATGGGGGATGTGGATGTGGATGTGGATGGGGAGGTGGAGAGAGGGGGGTAGAGATGGGAAGGTGGAGGTGGAGGTGAGTTGGTAGGTAAATAAATGATAGATGGATTGATGAATTGAGATATATAAGACTGCGATAGGTGATTATTTAATGTAAGATTATAATAATAATGTGATGTGTTTTACTTTATGTTTGTTTACGAGTAGATGGTGTAAGGAGTATAGATCTCAGTAATAGGTATATCATCGCAACCATATAAACATCACATTACACCAATCATTTCACATCATACATAACCTGCAGCCCGCACACCAAACCAAAAACTTTCCGAAATAAGCAACCATATCAATTAACTAACTAATTATCTAGTAACTACTAGAAACAATGTCTTCAGCAGAGCCCATTTCCCCTTTATAGAACTGATTGATGCCCATCCAAATCCCAATCCTCATGAAGATCAAACAAGCAATGAGAATCTATCTAGCATCTACTATCTGCGCAACCTATCTATCCTATCCATTTCAACCCCATCTATCTATTTATTTAGCCTATCTATCCATCTATCTATCCTATAATTCTTAATTCCTTATTCTCAATCCCACTGCAACGAAAAAAAGTCAAGAAAAGTCAAGAAGAGATAGAAAAAGAAAAGATAAAACATCTTGACCGCATCTAATCTAATCTAATTATTCATACCCGCGAGTACAGCGAGAACAGGCAGCAAATGTAAAGTAAGATCGAGACTGATCGAGAAGAAAAGAACAAACACAACAAACCAAACATGCCAGCATGTTAATTATTGAATGTTGGGACTGAAAGCTCCTGCGATATAAATAGATGAGTAGGTAGATAGATCGGCGTCGAATTCTGTGCGGTGCGAGATAGACTTGATGAAAAGAGACAGACGAGACGAGACGATATGACGAAAAAGCTTGTTTGAAATAAAAGAGCGTGTGTGGAGAGGTAGGTAAGTGAAGAGGCTCTGGTTGGTTACTTTGTAGTGCGAAAAAATGAAAATGTAATGTAGACGTAAAATTCATGTAACCATGTACTGGTGCTTATTTCTCCATGAAAACACAGGAAAAGAATGTCGTGGACTCGTGAGTATTGAAACGATTGTATTGAAACGATTGCATAGAGTTTGTCGAATATCAGAAAATCGAAGAATCGCATTGTGCAAATCAAATCAGATCAAATCGATCAAATGCTTAAGCATTGACAACATTGACAGAAGGGTGTCGAAGTGGTGGAAAGACATTAACGCCATATTGACCACCCATGTTTCCTAACCAAAAGGTTAGTAAAGAGATATAAACAAAAAGATAAAATGAAGAACAAACCTGGTGGATAATAATTGCAGACAGTATACCAAGCTGGCATATTTGGCCAAATATCCATTGGTTCACAAAGTTGAGTAGCACAACCAACAGAACTGGTAGCGAGCCAAACCATCTGAGTGAAATGACCCCACTTCTCAAAAGTGGTTAAGTCGGGATTATTCTTGCCATAATAGGAAGGAAGGTAAAGAGGTTGTTCTCCATTGTACCACATGTTTGTAGCAGCGACAGCCATCTCCTTATTAGCACCAAGAGCCTTAGCATTAGTGGAACCGTATGCAGCAATGTTTTGTCCATATCCACCGCCATTAATGTTCCTAAATAGGTATTAGTCTTGGTAATACAAGGTGACCCAGAAAAGTACTCACATGCTGTGACCCCACTTGCATGTTGCAGCAAGAACCTGAGCGGATGCAACGAGGGTTGTATTCCATCTAAGAAGAGGAACAGAATGATTGGTACGATGGATATTGTGGTGATACAAAGCAGTCGAAACATAGTCTGTGGGAGTTGCGGTTGGAACTGGTGCCAAGGTAGTGGAAGGATAGACGGTTGTGGTGACACGAAGAATGGTTGTTGCAACTGGCTTCCCCTTGGAGTTATAGGTGACTTGTGTGACATCGTAGGTTTGAACGATTTGGCGCTTGATACGATGAAGAAGTTCGGTGATCGGTGATGCTGTTACCATCAAGGCAAAAAGCATAGCCAAGACGAGTTGCAAACGCATCTTGACGATTTTGTGGGAATTTGATATATGTGACTCTGGTAGATCGAGAAGATGTGAATAAGACGTCGAAAAAGATGGGGAGGAATGAAAAATATCTAGGTATCAAGCACTAGAAGAAGAGCTTGGTAAAGACTGTGAAAGTAGATCTGGAATCTGTTTGAAGGAATGTATTGTTTTTTGAAGGAAGAAGAAGAGGGGAAAGACGGTTGAGGTTTGTTTATATTCCCAATATTTCCACGTGGATTTTGATAATAGTGTCGTCTCTTGGAGAGATTAGTTCGGCTATATGCCCCAATCAAGACTCCAAATAGAACAAAATCTGACGCACAACCTTAATCGGACGTTCGATTCACCTTTGAAGATAATATGAGGTAAAATAAGGGAAGATTGAGGGCAATTTGAATGGAGATTGGATGTGGTAATGACGTATTGAGCTCTGAAATTTGTGTTACTAGAATTAGTGATTCCGAGCGGGTGTCTTACAGTCCGTGAATCTTAACAGTGATACCAGATTACTGTACTTATAATAATTTTGATGTTGCTCCTTCTACTTGTAAATCTTATCATGCGGATATAGGAAAGTACAATCACCATAGGAACCAATGTACGCCATTTCCTTGGCTAGAGGGGTTTGAATCACTGTTGACGAATCCCAAAGAATGGAATATGACTCGCAAATTCTTCACTCACTTGTGGCTTCCAGGTGAATATCATTATGATTGGCATGTGGACGCCACATGGCTAGTGAGTTTATTGAATATCAAGAAACTTCACACCTTGGAAAATACTTGACAAACGAAATTACCTGGACAGGACATGAGAGGACACTGGTTTAGATTGTGACTTGTAAATGACCTCCTAATTTCCCTCCTACTCAAGGCATGAGGTAATGATATTACTTGTTACAATCGAAGTATCACCTATGTGCTGACCGAGTTCCATCAAACAAATAAGATTTATTTTTGATTTGTTTTATATCTCCCTGCCCCCACATTCCTGGAATTTGACCAACTTTAAAAGCAGTCCATCCCCAAGACTCTTGGGTATGAAAACTTCTTCTGCCATTTCGATACATTCTCCTTCGCCACAATATTCTTGTGCCGACCATCTGGACCGATTTGGACATGGGCCAGTATTCTTGATCTTGGAAAAGATCTAGAATGCGGGAAACTTCGACTCCTTTGCCACAAATATGATAGATTTCTGGCGGGACAGCTGGAATGTGGCTCGGTCAGCAGTAGCCTTCCGAGCCATTTTCAAATACCTCATTCTACCCGTTGAATGATGCTTTGAAGTCCGATCTAGGTGTCAAGAAAACTTCACAGTGTGGATGACCCAGAACTCAGATATCAAGGGATGATATGGGTGAGAAAACGGCTTGCAAACCACTTGGGGCGCATCTTTTGAGATCATGAGTTGAGCAAATTCAGAACATCAATATACGAATACGGGGGTTCTGCAAAGAACCAAGCAATGCGAGACTTCTCATAGCCTGGTCCTGTGTTCAACAGCTCTTGAGAGAATACAGTCAATGACAAACAGGGCAAATTCTTGCCAAGCAGAAACTTCAATGACAAGATGGCAGGCGCAAAGAAGAAGCCACCTTAGAAAGGGCAAGAGACGAAGTGTTATCCAAGTACAGGCAAACAGAAATGTTTCAAGTATTGGACACTTGTCCTTGAAATCGGATAATCAGAAGAAGAAAAGAGGTAGACAGAGGTGCGGTGAGTACTCTTTTTTCCCCTTTGATCAATGGTTGCTTAATCATTCCTTCCCATACATTCAGGTGTCGTATAATTATAGCCCAATTTGTTGTTCGCCAAACCCTAGATCAAAGTATGTTTCAAAAGAGCCTAGAACATTACTATATTATCTCTCCAACCGGTATATGCGCGCCGTTCTTGTGCGTCCCACCCCATATGTACAATTTCCTTTACACCCTAGTCCGTCTTTCGATCTTTCGCTCTAAATCATTAATCAACAGTTCCAAATTCCGGATAATTCAATCTTCCATCTAAGTCTCGGATGATCGTGGTATATTCAACCCTTGCTTCTAAATTTTGGCCTTCCCAATCGCCTCCATTTCTCTTCCCAATTCCTCTCTCAAATCTGCCGCTAGTACCTTAGCCTCCTCTTCATCCAATTCACTCCTCTGCCCTCTCCCAAACATCGTAAAAGATCGATTGCGTAACTCGGGAGTTAGTCCCGGTCTCGGGATAATATGAAAATGTACATGCGGTACGACTTGCGCTGCAGCAGCTCCTATATTTATCCCAATCCCATTAGCATTAATTTCTTCATTCCTTTGTTGCACCAGATGTCCTAAACCGACCTAGCTACAACCTTAAATGCGCCGGATTTTCCAAGACACAAATCCCGGATGACTTACCGTTGTTTTGGACGATATTCCAGTCCCACACACCGGTGACCTTGGCTAAGATTCGAGATAGTCTCGGAAGCCATTCACCCAATTCTCGCGCTTCTTCTGCACTCACGTCCGATAGCTTCTCGTTATGTTTACGGGTGGTGACGAGTAAATGTCCTGGGGAAAGTGGCATGATATCGAGAAATGCCATGCAGAGAGGTGTGCTGAGGACTACAAATGCGGATGGAGTGGTAAGGTCTGGGTTGGCGAGAGAAGAGGATGGTGGGTAATTGGATGCTATGCTACAGAACGGACAAGCCATAGTGAATGCGGCGTCCCTTTGAGAGGGCTATAATGATGTTATCGTGATATGCGCATTGTGAGCTTTATAGTTGATGATTGTAAATTGTGGATGTAGGAGCTTTGGGACTTGCAATTTTACCGAGGCTATGATGCAACTTGCAATTTGCTTCTTTACAGGAGTATCGCTACCCCGGATTTCTCTTTCAAGGTCATCAATTAGTTATTTCACAATAATAGTTATTGTTAGATCATTTCCAAACTCAACAATGGTAAAGTACGAAGAACTCATCGAAAACTCAGGATACTTTATCAGCGAATAATTGAAAAACACGTCTTCCAGAGTACAAACAACAAAATCGTCATGTGAAGCTCGACATTCAATTACTTCATGGTATCTTTAAATTATAAGCAATTAAATTCTTTACTCATCATCGCCGAAGAAAACCTTGATAGGTAACCAATCATCACCACAGACCTTGAATCTATCTGGCAGGTTGTCCAACTTCTCAACTTCCTCACTAGTCAATTCCCAACCATCAAGCTCAAAGTTCTTCTCAACACGCTCCTTGTTGACGGACTTTGGAATAACAGACCATCCTTTTTGAATACCCCAGGCAAGTAGTACTTGTTGTGGGGTCTTACCCTTAGCCTCCGCCATTGACAATAGGGTCTTGTCCTTGTACAGAGGAGAGTTTGTGCTACCGAGACAAGAGTAACCGGTGCTGTGGATACCCTTGGATGTGTTGTATGCAACGAGCTTTGGGGAAGGGTTGTTTGGGTGGAGCTCGATTTGGTTAACGGCGGGAACAATCTAAAGAATAGTTAGAATGGAGGTAGCATTGCCGGGTTCTGGATTTGGACATACCGTGGTTCCTGGGTCATTGAGAAGCTTCTCCAAGTTTTTAATGCCAAAGTTGGAGACACCAATGTTCTTTACTTTACCAGTGGCAGGGAGCTTTTGCATTTCGTGCCATGTCTTAATGAAGTCCCAATCTGGGTAGTGCTTCTTCAAGTCATCTGGGTCGGTCGATGATGGCCAATGCATCAGGTATAAGTCGACGTAATCGGTACCCAAAGACTTCAAAGAAGAATCAATTCCCTCTGTGACTCTCTTGTGCCATGGGTTATCGAGTTTGGTAGTCAACCAGATCTCCTTTCTTGGTACGCCGGAGGCTTTGATACCTTGACCAACTTCTGACTCGTTTCCGTATGCAAGCTATTGATCGATCAGGATTGAATTTGACGCAACAATGCATTCTTCAACTTACAGCTGTGTCAATGTGTCTGTAACCTCTGCGAAGAGCAATCTCTACAGCCTTTTCAACTTCACCAGGTGGAGATTGCCATGTGCCGAGACCAACAGCTGGAATCTTATCACCAGTGTTGAGTGTGTAGGTCTTTCTGGATAGGGGGGTAGTGTGTGAGCTCATGGTACGAGTTGGTTTGAAATGGGATGTGACGGTCGCTAGTCTTCGCAGACTTCTGCTTTGACGTGAATTCATATCAGAGTCGAGAAAGGAAGAACTTACGAGGTAACGTTTGCAGACATCTTTATGGTTTATGGATTCGTTGAATGTTCTTGAACGAAGAATTGAAGGGACAAGAGGAAAGAAATACTGAACGACGAGGGGGAAATGAATACTTATACCTTTACTCCTACTTGGCCCAGCAAGCCATGCGTAAAAAGTTATTTGATGCAGGATGACGAAAACTTTATGAGATTTCCACAAAATACTTTACACTCGGATAGATCTAACCCATATGGAGAAGTTTAACCTATTGATATGTGTAATCTAAAGATAATCCGCTGCACGAGGAGGGGCACTGATTCTGTCATTTGAGTGGAGCATGGAGGGGCAATATCAATTCAGGCTAAATTGAATCAGAGGGAAATTCAACATGCGCGCCAATCAGGTCTCGCAATATCGTTTGAGACTATCCCTACGTTGGAAGCCTCCATCAAAGCTCGAAAAGCAGCCTTAACTTGTGTGCTACCGCATGTAGAAGGCGAATATTGAATTCTGTGCTGCGGAACAACAGAAAGGTTGCAATGTGAATTGAAGAAAAGAGTTTTAACCTGCACTTTATGCTCACTCCTAGAATCTTAATGATATAAACCGAATGTGAGAAATTGTTGACTTCCGTCCTAGTTAGGGAATTTGCTCCGTGGCGGGGAAAAAGGCGGGGAGTGGAAATTAATATACACGTGACACCAATGAATTCGCGGCGCATCAAGTGCAATCTCAAGAACCTAGATCACTCCGTACCATTCGCGCGCATACAAACAAAACCACAATGTCTTCCGGATTTGTATCAGGTGGAACAGCAGATGCTCCAACTCAGCGCAGTGATGAATGGCTAGCCGCTCAACAAGAAATCGAAGCTAACAGACAACGAAAAGCCATTGAAGCAAGACAACAAGACGGAAAGAGCTTGTTTGATATCCTAGAAGCAAATAAAGGTATACATCTAGGACCCTTGCATCTGCAACCTTGCTGTTTTCTTAGACTGATCACGTAGGGGTGCGTTGAATGAACCAGCTGCCAAACAAGATGCATTCGAAGAAGCCAATAAACTCAAGAATCAATTCCGATCGTTAGATGAAGACGAGGTTGAATTTCTGGATTCGGTGTTAGAAAGTACGAGGGCAGAAGAAGATAGAGTGAAGAAGGAAACTGCGGAAGGATTGGAGCTATTCAGGAAACAACAAGAAGAGGCAGACAGGAAGGCGAGAGCGGCGGAGAATGATGAAGCATCAATACAAGAGGGTTCGCCGGTGCGTGAGGATGAATGGGGTACTACGAGCCGGAAACGTAAGCGTACAAAGGATAAAGAGGTATTGAAGGGGGTGAAGGTTAGGAGAGCTTCGTCTTCTGCAGAACAAGCTTCTTCCTCGTCTGCCAAAGACTTGCCAAAGAAACCTGCGAAAGACGATTCTAGCTCAGTTGCGACGAGCACTGAGCCACAAAATCCTCAAGATTCTGTCACAGTTTCGGAAACGCAGCCTGCAAAGGTGCCAGCTCAACCGGCGGCAAGCAAGAAGCCACCACCGCCTCCACCCAAAACAGGACTAGGATTGGTAGATTATGGATCTGACGAGGACGATGAATGAATACTGCCAGGGACGTTTTCGCCCAGTTTGAGTGAAATGAATATAGACATAGTCTTGGTACGAAGAGCAAGAACTCTCCGATGAGTGGAGGACTATCACAAAATGCAGCATACACGTAGAAGGTGAAAACATTTCTCAGCTAAAATGTGCTCAACCATGACCGTTCATGATACGGCATGTAGGGTTGTTATAAGATATAGCTATCTATAGACAAAAAGTGCCATCTGCTCGCTCACAAGAGCTCTATAAATTCGCTTCTGCTATATATTCTCCAAGCAATGCTCCAAATGAACAAAATTCCTACAACTTGAGCCTGGCAAGGTTCGAAATCATCTCTCTACCAGTAACCCAAATAGTTCTCCACAAGGTTGGGAAATCCAAAGTACTAGTCAGAGTATCTGCAAAACCAAAGCCCAACATGGGTGGGATCCAACCTCTAGCATACTCAAGAGCGAAACAAGCTGCATCCATCTTGTACTGCTTGACGACACCGCGACGAAGATGATGAACACTTCCTTGGGGATAGACTTCAGGTTCGAAGTCTCCAGGAGTATAAGCGAGCTGAGTACCAGCTATGATATGGAAGTAGTCATCGGCTGTATGACGACCAGTATGTCCTTCGGTACCAATTGTAGTTCCTACTCATAGTCAGTGTCTCCATTCATATTCTTGGAGCTAGCCATGGGAAAACAAACCAAAAATAATCAAATACTCTGTAATACCTATAGTCAATTAGCACTCTTGTTTCGTCGAACTATCTGTCCTAACAACCCGTGACTCCCGCGGAAAACTTACTAGCATGAATAATATACATAGCACCCATAGCCCCGCCAGCATTATTAAAAATCCATTCCTGATCCAAATTGATATAACCACCCGGATGCTGCTCGCTCAATTCATCCACAATGTACTTCACAACTTGCGCGGTATCATTCCCATGAGCACCAATAGCGCGTTGGGACAGATCATGAAGTTGAGTCGGTGTGAAGATGTAAAACGATTCAAGACGCGCATCCAGAAAATAGTAGAGAGCAGTGAGGAGACCAAAGATGGCTCCGTAGGTGAGGAGCTTGGTCATGATGGGAAATTGTGAATTGGCCTGAGTGAGTGTATACTCCGTATTTCACTTCTTGTGAAAAATTAAAAAGGAGTGTTGATTCTTATGTCGGTCTGACAATAAATTTAATAATTTCGCATGTCAGGTACGGATATTTAATGTGGAGATGGTAACCAATCGGATTCTCCCGTAAGGTTGATAGCTGGCAGGACAGCACGTTAGGAGTACTAGGGAAGCTCCGGAAGCTTGGGAAGAATTTCTAGTAGAAAAAGTCGAGAGCATTGATTTTGATAAGTCAGACAAGAAGAAAGATACTTGAACTTATATTGTCGAGTAGGATATCATTAAAACTAATATAACACTGCATCACTGCATCGCCGCATCCCATTCCCCGTCTTACAAATGAAGGTGCTTATAACCAACATTACGAACTTCACCTCGGTGGTATAATGATAAGATCTTACAACTTCAACTTGATTCCTCACTCCCGAATTAATCATCGGATTCTAACTCTCCATGATCCTCATCATCTGCTTTCTTCTTCGACTTTTTGAACTGTTCCTTACCATCCGTAATATAAGCTTCGACCTCTTGGCCATCAAACTTCCGTCCATTCATCAACCTAACACATGCTTTCGCCGATTCTGCGTTTGCGAACCTTACGCTAGCGACTCCATCTTCCTCCAAATCGTATAGTACCACGTTGGTTACCTCGCCGAGCTTGCCACATTCATCTCGAATATCTTCCTTGATATCCAGCATTGCAGCTGGGTCCTCTTCCAGTTCCTTCAAAGTGAACATATGTTTTAATATAACGACTTTATCCCATCTCGAGCTGGTTTCCACAAGAGCCGATGGCTCATCATCACTCCAATCTGCCAGTCGTGCATCCAATTTCTGCGTCTTCTTAATAATTTTTTGCTTATCCTTCATGCTGGTCTTGGGCTTCTCTTTCTCCTTTCCCTCTGCGTCTGTTTGTTGAACCTTCTTGTAACTTGCCTCTGCAGCCTGGACCCTCATTTTGATTCTCTCCTTAGATGCACCACTTTCTATCCTAAAATCCGTATCATCCAGTAACATTATCGCCATCTGCACGGATGGCGGCTTGAAAAAAACGATAAGAGCATCACCCTTGAATTCTCCTTTTTCGTCTGTATAAAGCTTAATTCTAGGTTTTCCGCTGTCGATTTCTTCTGCGATAACACCGCACTTTTTTGAAAAGACTTCGTGAACTTCCTCAACTGTGACATCCGATGGCAGACCAGTAACGTAAACTGCAGTATTCGCTCGTAGGGGTAGAGGTGCTTTGGCTTTCTTTGGGGCTTTTACAATCCGGCCACCCTCCTTTGTAGAATTAGCATTGAAAAGAATTAATGAAGGAAAGATGCAGATAAGTGCATAAGCTCCAGATATGTTTCGCATACCAAAACAAATATAAATAGATATGAGATGCTGAAAGCGACCAATAAATGGGGGCACAATCATAGTTCCATTACATGCATAAAAGCCTAAAATTAACTTACATCCTCGCCATTGACATACTCCTTCTTCCTCTTCCTCTTCATGGCATCTACTGGTTCGCTCTCATCCACTCCCGATACCTTATAAGCCTTCTGCTGCTCCTCCAATAATGCTTCATCTAATACTGGTATCCATCGTTTGATCGCATCGTCGAATTCAAATTCCGTGCCATCGTCTTGCACGAGTAAGTATTTCTGGTCGAGCTTTGAATATGATATGCGATCGTCAGAATCGAATTCTTCTGGGTTCGTAGGAAATGGTGCAGCTGCACCTTCAGTAGGCTGCCTTTGCTCCATGGTTGATGTTGTATAGTGTTTTGTTTATGGAATAGCTGAGGTGGGGGTTGATGTGGTGATGGTCGCAAGGCTTTAAGCTTGACAAAAAGCTTCGCGAAGCGATTTAACTTCTTGGTTCTCTTAGCATCATCAGCATAAAAGTTTAACAAATTCGAACTACAACCATCACTTTAGAGCTACATGTTTTTGTATGAAAGTTTCCTTTGAAATTTTATTGATTCTAGCCAGCCTGCGATCTTACTGAAGTCAACCGGTGAGTGTATAGTGCCTCATCTTGAATATGCGTCAAATTACTCCCAGACAAAGACAAGCTTGAATCATTCTTCCCATATTAGTCACCGCTGCCAGTAACAGCCCCTCATTACAAAAATCCCAATGCTTTCGAATTCTATAATTCATTATGAAGGGAATGACGAGGTGGTAAGCTCTCTGCTAATGGTATATGACTTCTGCCATTTCGATATAAACATTGGAAGGGTCCGAAGCATGCACCTGCTGCAAAACGTACTATCTATACCTAGGTATGGGCTGCAAGCAACTCTTCATTAGGTAGGTACCTAAAGTTCCTTTTTTGTTGCTGTAGAAAAAGAATCATATTGTCTCAATTAGAAGCAGACATTGATATCTCAATTCCGCCCTGTTTTAGGTTGATGGACGGGAGTCTCTCTATTCACTCCTCGAGAAAGAAACTTCTATGTCTGAATTTGACACGCAGCTCTCTGTTGCAGTCAAGGCCGCCGCAAGCCAATGCTCTCATTCTGCTACTGTTTGGGCGAGTGTAAATACATAGTTTCCAGCCGACATATTCCTCAGGAACAGCAAATATCGAGCCCAAATATAAACAACAAGGAAGGTTTCTTAGATTATACATACCAAAACATAGGTCTCTGGTAAGCTGAAATTTCTGGAGAAGGTGTCTAAATGTTCGCTGCTTCATCCAGAACCCAGCAACTCTCAGGTCTTACTACACTCCAGTTAATGCCAAAAAATACAACCTAGAGGGCCGCTGGTGTGAATTCCATGGATATTGAGAGCATTTTTCTTCTAATATCTTCAATTTTTTTATTTGAGAATCGCTTTCGGTGTTGTGATTACCTCTTTTTTCTCCAACTTTCGCATCCTTTCTGGAGGACGATCTTTCGTCTAATTTTGCTTTGCTTCACAACACCAGATGATATAATCGGGCTGGCAACATCCAAGCTATACCTATCGCAATCGTTCACATTCTCGTATTCATTGCGTTGTTGTCCTTTTCTGTCCTTACCTTCCGCAATTACACTTGGTCGGGTATCTCAGTCGGCCACTGTGGTGTGTCGCCCCGCGTCTTGGACTGCAATGAAGACATAAGAAGCCAGTGATCTCCTACTGCAACCATCTAGTTCGATCTAGTGTCGCTCTGTACAAGATCTTCTACGCGATGTCCTCAATTCTTCTTGAGCAGTCTGAATCTAAAAAATATGCTGCCCTCCCCTCCCTCGGGTTTCGGATCGTATATATTTTTCTTCTTAAACCTCACGTTTCTTTTTCTGCCGGTTTAGGTTCGCCACTCAGGACATAATTCAGAGAAAGGCACTAGCGCTGGAAAAAAGAGCATCTGCTTGATTCCAATATCAAGAGTGAATCGCACTGGGAGACGTTGAATCTGAAGGCATAACCGGATCTGTTGGATGATTCTGACCCCTAATATGATATCTCGGAGAAGCACCATGGCCACCATGACGGTTGTGACGATTGCTGTGAATATAGAGATGAGTCCGACACGGATGATAAGTGAGGCTACGGTGATGATGAAGGTAAAGATGAGATTATGTCTAGACATATTTAGTGCGTTTCATGGAGCGCCGCTGGCCATTATGGCCCTTTACTTTGGCAACATCGCTTGACCGTGACAATGTGATTATAGCTATCATCAGGTCCTTTTAGTCAGTCAACCCTGATGCGCTCCCTTCCCGTATCTTGCTAAAACTTTATACAGGCAGCTCGACCCCTTTTCTTTCTAGAGATTTTGAGATGTCGTAAGATACTATTACCTTTCATATCCGTTCGATATCGCCATCTGATGCGTTTCTTACCTTGCTTTACATCCATTGATCCTGAATCACACCCACACACAGCGCTGATATCTATACCACTACCATGAGTACCGGTCTGGATGCGTTGTTACCTTATACCAACCCAATATTAATCCCATGCGAACTCATCCACTTCGCGAGCTGATTTTACATAGCTAATTATTACGATGCTTTACAATACTCAACGTGACATATGCAAGACTGTGCTTAATGCCATTGGATGACACTGCCCTAGAGCCTCAAAATAGCCAATAGATAATACTGAACTGAAAAAAACATCGCCGAGCACTGAGAATACAAAGACACCGCGTCCGATCCTATATCAGTAAGTACGTACCGGGGCTATTTAGCTACGTTCATAGAGTTATAAGGATAACAATCGCTCAATAGCACTCCCTGGCCCCAAAGGAAGGAACCTTTTCGCCTGAATCTTTTACGTCCAAGCTGAAACCAGTTCTTTAACCATATCCGTTGCTTGTTATTCTGGGACTGCATATGTATAATTCTTAGTCCCAGCATGATTGACAACCCGCGGCCATTCTTCCCTCCCCATATTGCTATCCGAGTCTAGAGCGAATGGTCATTCGTAATATGGTCTATAGCCACGGTCGTATAGATAAAACCCCGACGAGACATGTAAAAGATCTCAGCATAATGCCCAATTTAGGGCAGGCCTCGGCCTCATCGATCCCGTACACCGGCTGAGAGTATAACTATATGCGCTAGCATATAGGCTTGCCGCATGGATTGAGTAAAAGATTAAGCTCTCTGTCTCTGAGTGAAACATGGCATCTAGCTAGCCAGCTCTCTTTTCGTTACAAACTCCAAATTCTTTCAGGCTGGCTTATTTCGACATCATACTGTAGGTTAGGGATGGGAGTTAACGGAATTCTCTTAATAGTATCTCGATAGCTCATTGGGACAAGAATTCGTCATCTAGAAGGTTCAGCTTGATAATATGAATTTGAAACGGTCATGATATGGTATAATGAGATCCTCATATGAGTGAAGTAGACAACAGAATAACTGTTCTTTACGAAATGTTATAATTCCATGGCCAGCAGTTGTACGAGACTACCCTTCTGCATGAAATATGATGTGATATCTAGAGTGGACGACAAGAACGACTCCCAATTATAAAGAAAAGTAACGAAAACCAAAGAACTTTCATTGTATCAATTGATACAGAAACCAAGTTGAATTTCATAGTAAGAAGAGTCAAATGTCTAATGCATTAACCCAAGATGACTTGTGAAGTATGAATAAAGACATTAAAAAGAGGTTGGAGTGCAGTGAAATACTCTTCTCATGTAGTGGTTTGACTGCACAGCGACCTTGGTCTGTCTGATATACTGATTGATAGAATTGGTGAATGTGCTCCGTGAATTGTTATGTCACTCCACATCTATATCTCATCCCACAACCCCACTTTCAAAAATTATTATTTTAGGTCTTTGGATCAATAACTTTTCAAAGAACCATGTAAAATTGCGCAAAAAGAAAAAAGTTATATGTTAGCAAGTCCCAGTTTCGATCTGGGGACCTCCGGGTTATGAGCCCGGCGCGCTTCCACTGCGCCAACTTGCTTAACGCTTCTTGCATATTTGATGGATGAGTTGGGCTAATTTTAATCTATAAAGCACAATATAATCTCAAACCACAACTAAAGAGACATCCGACCATCTACCGATTGCCATTCACAATCTTTCATGGACAAATTATTAATCTCTGAACCATTACATTAGAAGTTGTTTGCTAAAAATACAGTGGGATACTAAGCTATCACAATGCTACTCTTTTTCATATCTAATTCAAAATATGACCAAATTACATTTTACTTTGCTAAAAACATGATACCCTTCGGGTAGTTTCTTGCTCATAGCTATAGGTCGGCCAAGTGCGAACCAAAGCCTGTCACTTTGTACATGAACTGCCAACAAGAGGTAAGACATGGAATGGGACAGCTACCGGTATAACCATACAGCATCTACACAATTAGATCATTTCTTTACACCTGCACAACCATGGCATTACCGAAACTAACAATACGCAATATCTCCACAACTCCACTCGAGTTAAAATCACTGGAACGATTCGAATCTGCAGATGGGAAAGCTGGCGGGGTAAATATCACCAGGATAACAAGAAATCTCACTGGGTTTATGAACATCACCAGCACTCCAAGCTCACCACAATTAGCTGAGAAAGCCCAAAGCTTTAGTCATCAAGATGTTTCCATTCCAATTGCTCCATTCGAGTCCAAAGTTACAGGTGTAGAAGTTAAAGGGAACCAAGTCCTACGATTGATATTCGAGATAAAAGGCGAACGGTATCGAATTGATACCCCAACTCCCTTACATCGGTCAACCGTTCTCACACCTCTTTCGCACAATCCCTCCTATGAATTCACAGGTGTATATCTACCTAAACATTCTTTCCTCGCAATCTTTTCCTCAGCGAAACTATCATCATGGATGTCCAATTTCAAAGACGAAACTCCCTTGGCAGCTCTTAGTATTCCCGGTACACACAATTCCCCAACCTGTTACGCCGCATTACCTTCTGTACGTTGTCAGGCTGTCAGCATAAAAGATCAATTGAACAATGGAATCCGTTTTCTTGATATACGGGTTCAACCACAAGACCCAAGTAATCCCGCTGCAGAGGGTCTAATTCTGGTTCATAGTGCTTTTCCGGTTTCTTTTACAGGCAATAAATATTTCCGAGATTTGGTCAACCATGTGAAGGCATTTTTAGTTGCAAATCCTACGGAAACAGTTATTATGTCATTGAAAAGGGAAGGAATAGGGAAATCTACGGATCAGCAACTCAGCCAAATACTCAACCATCATTATACTCAAGATTCTGCTCGTTGGTTCACAGGCAATCGCATTCCAGCTCTAGGCGAGGTTCGTGGGAAGATTGTGGTTATACGTCGGTTCGGCCTAGACAACTCGCTGAAAGGAGAAAACAATGGAACAGGTCTATATATCGACGCAGAGAGCTGGCCAGATAATTGTGCAGATGGCGAGTGCACCAGTGGAGAAATCCGAGTGCAGGACTTCTACGAGGTTGCCGTGTCTACGAATATCGAGAAGAAGATTGGATATTCCACAGATCAGTTGGAGAGGGCCGCGAAAGCCGTAGCCGTACTTCCTGAAGATATGGGTGCTGCAAGTACGGAATCTGCAAAACAACCTTTCTTTATGAATTTCTTGAGTGCTTCGAACTTTTGGAGAGCGAATTGTTGGCCGGACAAGATTGCGGAAAAGGTTAATCCCGTGATCGTTGACTTTCTATGTAGAAAGCATAATGAATCTACTTCGAGTGAACATCCAGATGGTGCAAGTATAGGGGATGGGAGTACGGGAATTGTAGTCTGTGATTGGGTTGGGGTAGGTGGGGATTGGGACTTGGTGAGGTGTATCTTGGCAATGAATGCAAAGTTGGAGATTAGAGAGAAGGAGAAGGAGCTTCAGCTTCCTTCTGATTCCCCTTCATGAATAGGGCATAGACTAGAAGATGTTATGATTTCAAGAATTTATGATGCAAATGGATAGAACAAGGTTCAGTTTACAGATATAATACATTCCGTTAGATGCTTATTCATTATTCGAATTTGATTTACTCCTTAGGAGGTTCTTCGGAAGGACCTTTTTCCTCATCTTCTAACATCATCCTTCTACCCTCAACGGTGAGGTATAAACTCTTTCCAGCACCCTCCAAGACATTTGTAATCCCACCACCGATACCTTGAAGCATGGCCATCAATTGGGCTCGTAAACCATCCAGACCTCCCTCGATACTTCCGACCCATTTCGTGCCATCGACATCAAACACTTTACCTTCTACTCTCGCTCCTAGCAACAATAACTTCTGTAACCCACTCTGAACAGTAGGGTCATGCCATCCAGGATTTACCCTCTTTTTAGGAGCAGGGAACAATGGAGCACTAGGTGATAATATCGTCAAAGCTGTCTTCAAATGCTGAGGAGAGACACCGGGGAACGTTAAAAGAACAACTGGACCCGCCAATAACGGCGATAGATCATGAGCATTCTTAGTCTTCTTAGCCGAAATGGCCTCATAAGCCGCGCTCGAAAGTGTATGTGTTAACCCATCACCCTTTGCGTTCACAATAGGCAAAGTCGCAGAAGAAGGAGTTGCTGGATTCGTAGGACCTAACTTTGGAACCTGGGCATCTGGCTTATAGAATTCGACGATTAGAAGGGCAGCAGCTAGGATTCCTGTTTGAACGATTTCGAGCTTCACGCCATCTGCGAGATTCAAGTGGGGTTGTCCTTCTGCTTCTCGGGCTGCGTCGACTTTACGGAGGGCAATGGCAAGTTCGCGACGTATGGCTACCCATTCGCCAGCTTTGAGGTTGTTGTGTTCGAAGAGGAGCATGAGGGGTGTAGAGCGAAGTAGCGAAGCATACTTTCTGAGGAGTTGAGATTTGCGGAATTCGGGGGGTTTGTAGGATGGTGGTTGGGTTGAGGGAAATTGAGATATGGGTGGGGATGCTCGGGTCATTTGCTCGTGCGAGGCTGCTGGCGTAAATGCTGCTGCCGCAGTGGCATATTGTCGACTTCGGAGGGGAGTCCTTTTACATCGGAGGATGGAAGCTATCGCCTTTGAGGGCGTATGTATTCGTGGACGCATTCTATAAATGCCAATTAGTATATACGACCTCCGCCAACATTTCTGTAGTACAATTGGCTGTACTCACCTGGAAAATGGACTTGTTGAACAAATATACGTAGACATATAATTTCGATGGACGAGCTTGAGAAATTCTAAAAGAGGATTAGCGTCTTTGACACGAATGCCATAAAGCTAAGGCGAACAATTAAGGTTCATTGAGGTGACTCAAAATCCAAGTCCCTTAGCCGGAACCCGAGTACTACATGAGGTACAAAGAATATTGAAAAAGTTTTCAAATAAATAAGCTCTTCTAGACACATCAATTGAATTTCGAGAACTCTTCGAAAATCAATCATGGCTGCTCCAACCGAGCACAATGCATACGCACCATCTCCTCGGGATATCTCAATCACGCCCCTCCTCAAACGGTTATGGCCTTCACCTGGAGATAATAATGTCACGGCATCAGAAATTGCTTTAGCAATCTCATATATTTTTACGGATTCGTTATCTCCAGTTCAAACGGGTGCATTACTCACGTGTTTGCATTTCACGGGATGGGATCGAAAAGCCGATGTTCTTGCAAAATGTGCAGAAGCTATGAGAGAAGCCGCATCACCCGTTGATAAAGAAGCCCTAGACAAAGTTGTCGCGGCGGTTGGGAGACTAGAAGGCGGTTACAAAGGAGGTTTGGTGAATTACCATGAGCAATTATTTTGGAATTATTTTCTGATCTTTCTCTAGTGCGATATTGTGGGAACCGGAGGAGATTCACATCATACTTTCAACATTTCAACTACATCTTCCATTTTGGCGTCGTCTCTCTTACTTTTGAGTAAGCATGGAAATAGAGCTTCTACTTCTAAATCGGGATCAGCAGATCTCCTCAACTCTACGTTACCTACAGCACCAAACTTGTCGGCGGTGACACCAGATACTATCACTAAAGTCTACCAAAAAAGTAATTATGCTTTTCTCTTCGCACCAGTCTTCCATCCTGGTATGAAATATGTTGCTCCTATTCGAAAAGAGCTTGGTTGGAGAACAATCTTCAATCTCATGGGTCCTCTTGCCAACCCAGTCGAAGGCAACATTGAAGCCCGACTCTTGGGAGTTGCTCGACGAGATATTGGACCTGTTTTCGCAGATGCCCTCAAAATGAGCGGTGCCAAAAAAGCCATGGTTGTTTGTGGAGAAGAAGACCTCGATGAAATCAGTTGCGCAGGACGGACATTTTGTTGGAGATTAGTAGATCATTCTGCAGATGAATCTTCATCTTCTAACGATGTCGAGATTAAAAGCTTCACAATTTGTGCTGCTGACTTTGGACTTCCATCACATGACCTAAAGGATGTTTCCCCAGGAAAGGAACCTCATGAAAACGCCGCGATCTTGATGAATCTACTCCAAAACAAATTACCAGATAACGATCCAATTTTGGAATTTGTCCTCATGAACACTGCAGCTTTGTTTGTCGTCGCGGGAATCTGTGATGCAGATACTAGCAAATATGGGTCATGGAGATGATGGGAAAGTCATTACTGAGAGGGGACCTGGAGGAGGAAGATGGAAGGAAGGTGTACGAAGAGCTAGATGGGCTGTCAAGAGTGGTGAGGCTTACAGACAATGGAGACAATTTGTGGATATTAGCAATAGTCTCTAGATCTGAAGGGCATATCTTCGGGAGACAATTCTTGAATGAATAATGAATTCAAGGCAATGATATAGACATTGTGGTTGGAAAGGTCTAATGGTTATTAGAAATGGAAAAATGGAATGGAAAAGTTGTTGATATATACAACTATTCACTTATTAGAGGATAACTGTATATTAATCTGGATCTTGATCCGAACTCAATTGTTTGGGATCTACAACAGTGGGTCTATGATGTTCAAATTGGTCATTAGGCTTTCCCCCATTTTAGTACACTCGGATGGGGGCATTTTGACAGTATTCCGAAGAATCGCCATCATCACATCTGCTAGAAAAGCAAGCAGCCTAGTGATTGGGGGAAAATATACCTTGATACGGAAATTAGATAGGAATGGTAACTTGATTGCTGTTTTTAGTAATTAATTTGATTTGACCTTCATTGATCCCGATTCCCCACGTTTGTGTCCTCTGAACCCCCACCAAAAGTATTTTGCTAATAGCCCGAAATCGCACTTACTACTGGGTACTCTAGCCCGTATCTATTCTACACCTAAGCTCCAGGTTTCTTTCTTGGATTTACCTGTTTACCTTGTTTACCTAAGTATCCAAGTACATACTTCTTCGACATCTGGCACATTCTGTCTTAATTGTAAATACTTCATTACATACCTCATACTCATGAGATATCTACTTCCATACATCCGACAATCTAGAACGCTTATCAGTCCCAAGCTACGTCCATCCCTATCAGCACCGAGGGGCATCAATCTACCCCACCACAAAATCCCCAGCAACTTACACCCCTCCAACCTTTTTTGTTCTACACAAGTATCTACAATCTTCACAATGAGTAAACCACAGATTCTTTTGTTGGGTGAAATTGACCAGTAAGTCATAATAAAGCTCTCTCTTTCATTAAAATTGCTAATAAAGGTACCCTTTAACAGTGCCAAGAAGGAATGGAGTGAACTTTCCAATATCGGTGAACTCATCGAACCCAAAGCTCGATCCCGTCAAGAATTCATAGAAGAGTGCAAAAATGGCGTTTACGATAAAGTGGCGGTTGCATACAGAACGTTTCCCAGTGTTTCTATCACAGGCTTGATGAT